AGACTGCAAAGTCAGTCCTTTTGTTACAAAATGTCTACCTTTGCATTTCCAACCCTCACAGTCAGTCCTGATAACAATTATTCACTATTTTACCACAAGAATCCTATCCCCATCTCCTTTCATCAGCCCCGCCCAGACAGATTGAATACTACTCAGTGGAGAGTCTACCTTCCTCCACGCCCTCTGGATCTAGACTCCCTCTTGAAACTTGTAAGCCAGTCACTTCTTGCCTTTATAGCCCACCATTTTGGGTAGCCAATGTACAAGTTGCCCATCCCTGTCTACCCTGTATACCAAGGGGGTGGGAATGATCCTCTCTGTAAAGATGTATTCCCTCTTTTGAGTTACTGCATCCATAGGTGTAGGTCAAGTTCATCAAATTGTATCAGATTACTCTTTTTTCCCGTTTCTTTCTTTTTCTAGTTGAGCTCTGATCATCCAGTCATTGAAGCCAGGTCAAGTGGGTATTATCTGCAAGTGTGGGTGTTCTTGTGCATATGCCCTCACTTCTTATCAGCTGGATGCTTCACTCTCCACTCTAGTCCTCTGGAGCTATGTTGCTGACTCTGGACCCCGGATTCCCCAAGTCTTGCCACACTGCTGGCCAACCAGGTCTCCTCCCGGGTTCACAGGAGTCTGTTGAACGTATGGTAGGGCTTAGCTCACAGCCTCATTGCCGTTTTTCCCTCACTTCCCCTTATTGGTGATCAACGTGGTCACCAGTCAGAGCGCATGTCTACTTGTGTATTCCCCTTGAGTCTTAGTTTTGGAAGGGGGTTTGCCCTGAGGGTACCCTACCACTTGCCTTGATGTCTCCTGGCCAATGATTATAGATAATGAAAAGTTAATGTAGTTTTCTTTCTAAGTATTGTTATTAAGTGCCGTAGAATCAGTTCCCACTCATTACGACTCTGCATAGGGTTTCCAAAGAGTGGCTGGTGGATATGAACCGCCAACCTTGTGATTCAAACCAACCTTGTGGTCCAGTGTTACTTTTTAAGTAGCCCTTTATATATTCACCTATGTTTTGTCAGCTTTCTAAAACTTATTTTTATTGACGTTTCCCATATATATGTATGTATGTATATATATAGAGAGAGAGCTCTGGTGGCGTAATGGTTACAAATAGGGCTGCTAACCTCTCAGGGTCAGTAGTTAGAAACTACCAGCTGTTCCGTGGGAGAATGATGAGGCTTTCTGCTCCCATAAAGATTTACAGCCTCGGAAACCCTGTACAGGGTC